GAGGAGAGTTATGCTAAATTAGCCAGGTATTTCATTGTTTAAGTGTTTATTTCTTTGTTATTGTAAATTTTAATTATTTAATTTCAATTGTTTATTTATATGTAATTAATTATTTAATTGAATTTTTTATTTTTCTGTTCATTTAATATTTAATATATTATCTAAATTATGATTATTTTTATTTATATTGGCCAGGTATTGCTATAACATAGGAAAAATTAATACTGGGTCAGCATTTTTTATTGAGAATGATGACAAAAACCACTTCAAATATTTCTTTATGGCCCTTGGACAATGTGTTCGAGGATTTCGAAATGCAATGCGACCCCTAATCTTAGTCGACGGTACAACCCTTAAGGCGAGATACGGGGGCAAGTTGATTATTGCAACATGCCAAGATGTGAACATCCAAATTTACCCTCTTGCGTTCGACATAATTGACGGAGAAAATGATGTAGCAATGAGTTGGTTTTTCATGAAGTTGAGGGAAGTAATTGGAGATGTCGAAAATCTTGCATTCGTAACCGATCGAGGGCAGTCAATAATAAATGGTATCGCCGAAGTCTTCCCCGAGGCACATCATGGTTATTGTATGTACCATATACAGGGAAACTTGAAGACCAGGTATCGAGGCAATGGTGTCGTTGAGTTGTTTAGGAGAGCTGTAGAGGCTTACAGTTTTGAAGAGTTTGATAAGTTCATGGTCAAAATAGACAGTAAATCGCATGCTGCATGGGAGTATCTAATAGAGATGGGGATTGAACATTGGGCACGATCACATTTTCCAGGACGTCGATACAACATGATGACGTCGAATAATGCGGAGTCGCTTAACGCTTTATTCAAGAAAGATCGAGAGTTACCAATTCTCGCAATGATTGAAAACATTCGTGACAAGTTACAACAGTGGTTTCATGATCGACGTGAGGAATCACAGAGTTGTGCAAGTGTGCTAACCCCGGCTTAAGAAGATAAGCTCTTCAAGACTCTAGATATGGCAAGAAAGGTATATGTAGAACCACTGGATCAATTTCGCTTCTCCGTGAGATGTGCACCTAATTTCGGATACATTGTGGACTTGAATGATAACACGTGTACGTGTAGACGGTTTCAGTTGGAGAGTTTTCCGTGTACACATGCAGTGGCAGTGGCTATGCGTAGAGGATTACCACCACACACCTTATGCAGTGTGTATTACATGACTGATTATTGGAGAGCAGCATATGTGGAAACAATATTTCCTGTACCAAATGAAGTCGAGTGGGAAGTGCCCGACCACATTCTCCCACTGAATAACTTGTTGCCACCAGCAGTTGGACCACGTACTCCTGGACGTACACGTGCGTCTAGAATACCATCTACCGGAGAGTTTCCCCAGCCTCGTAAGTGCGGTAGGTGCGGTGCAACAGGGCATACTAAAAGATATTGTACAAGTCAGATTCCTCTACATGACAATGTAACGGATGTGTAATTTTAATAACTATTGGCAATGTAATTATTTATAACATTAACATTAATTATTTATGTGAATTATTAGATTTAGTATTTTTTTCAAACATTTCATTCATTACATTCATCTATTATGTATATTATTTATGTTAATTATTTGAAATAGAAACTTTTTCTAGACACTGCATTATACGGTAGGCTGCATTGTAAAATAAATATTTAAATATTACATAAATAATCAACATTTTACAATTTTTCCGTAATTACAAATAAATGAATGAACTGTACAATGTTTAAATAAATGTAAAAATATGTACAATTATTTACGGATCCCCATTAAATTCAAATAAATCACATGCTAGTTTATTTCTCCAATTTTGTATCCATACCTGGTTGATTGCATCAACCTTATGTGCCACACTCAAAAATTCTATGTACTTGATGACGAACATGTCGCAATCACCCCTACAATTAAACAATGTTGTATTAGCACATCGAAAATTAGTTAGAACCTAAGATGTAAATGACAGAAAGAAAATTACAAACACTTACGATATTTGCTACCTCGTCGTTGTCGTGTTCCGCACGGTGGCCAATCTGTCTTGTACAGTGATGTTCGCTCGTCTAGCCATCATGGGAACAATCATAGACACCGACTCTAGATTTTGCTCGAGCTGGCCTTGTGTCAGGCATGAATGATCGGGGTCGTACACATACATCGTGGAGTCGGCAAATACGATTCCACTGCAATGTAGTGATGATTCACACATACTGGTACGTACATATGCGTACAACCATCCCATGGCTTCCCACCAACACTCGGCCACATCCCTACGACCCATTCCATCATATATTCCGGCACCGTGTACTCGCTACCATAGCCTGGAACGACTGGTACTCAACGTCAACGGCACGGATGAACTCGGTGTTCAATATGAGTCTACCAGAAATGTTGAACGATTTTGGATGTCTTTCAGCACGATCTCGTAGCAAATCCATGCTCAAGTCGATGTGCTACATCAAGAAACACCAATAAAGAAAGGAGTTAATTTATGAATTTCATTCAAAAAATTGATTTTGAACATACATAATAAATAACAATATTTTCATTTCACTTACATCGTCGGCGAGCCAAGCCCCCGCAGTGGTGATGTCGTGGAACCACTTGTAAGCATTTGAGATCGTCTTCTCAGCAATCGTGCGGCTGGCCCTGAAAAAATAAGAACAGAATTTTAGTTATATGAAGTATACATGTGTCAGCGTCTGCGTCTACGTACTATAGTAATTACATAAAATACAAAACTTACCCAGGCTGCAGTGCTCTCGACTCTGTCTCAAAGGCTTTCCACTTGGCGTGGTCCACCTCCCTGAATAAATTCGGGTGCGTCCCGTCGACGAACCTTCTCCTCTTCGCCTTCGCGGTAAAGGGAGAAAGAACGTACTGTCCCGATAACTGCCAGTCCCTCCGTCTCGATAGCCACAGTCCCTCCATCACCCCCTCCGTCCCGATAGTGACCTGTCCCTCCGCTACCTCCTCCATCTCGATAATCGCTCGTCCCACGCAGGCCTGCTATGTCACCCTGTATCGTTACAACCTCAGCATGAAAGTCTCCTAACCCAGCTCGTAATATCGCGACATCATATCGTAACTGTGCCATGTCCCCGAACTCAGCTCGTAGTGTCACGACATTATCCCATAACTCTGCCATGTCTCCTCTCATCTCCATCAGGAGTTCGAACAAATCAATCGTCGAAGCACGGGGACTAGGTGCAGGAGGTGATACTGGACGGCCCTCCTGAAAAAATAACTATTACAAATGAATAACCTAACAAATAAAATAAAACGACAATCGAAGAATTATTTTTAAGTAACATACTCTATCTCGATCAACGCTGGACTCAGGCATCTGAACCTCCGGCGTAGCTGGACGTGATCTTCTCAGCGGAGGTGACATCCTCGCTGGACGTGCTCTCCTCGGTGGAGGTGATATCCTCAACGGAGGTAATACTGAACGATCCTCCTGAAAAAATAAATATTACAAGTGAAGCACTTAATTACAAGATCGAAGCGATATTCAACAAATACTGCACAGTGACATACCCTATCTCGATCCATCCTAGACTCAGGCATCTGATCGTCATGCGCAGTATGAAGAGGCAATTCGCGAATATAAAACTGACTCTCCTCCTCGATCGACGGTGCCAATTCAGTGAGAACTTCAAGATGTCATTTTGATATGTCACAGTTAATGACTATGTATTCAGATTGTAAAAGGACGTACAACATAAATAGCAATTGTATAATACGTACCTCAAGATCGTTGAGGAGAGCCGATAACTGTCTGGCAAGCAGCTTGTCTTGTGCTTGCCAGTGATGCATCCGAGGATAGCGTGTCTCTCCTCTCCTCGCATACCGACTGGCCAAGATGGGGACAGTCTCGTACACCCATATCTGAAACAATTACAATTATTATGTAAAGAATTCAATAAAAAAAGTGTAGGTAATTCATTAGCTTAAACATATACCTGCAGCGCCAACGGTAGTCCATATGCATCGTACTTGCGCTCGGGCTTATTCCCCTTTGGCATTGAAAACCCACTCCTAAACACGCGTAATGTATCAAGAAAACATCTCCAACCCCATGGGTAGTTGTTGAAGGCATCAATATCATCAACAACCTCCAAATGAAAAATGTCAATCGATGTCTTCTTGTGATGACACCGGAGTATGCTCTCGATGATAAGCACCAATCCTAACTTCAACCTATCAGACATCCGATCATATCTCCTTAATGCATCTCCTAGCTGCCCTAGAGTAACCGTCGTCTGTCCATGAAAATATTCGTTCAGCAGCCTCCTGTTCCTCGAAACACAAGCCCTCGCCTCTGCATTGTCTGTACATCGCAGTCCAGTGACGAGGGCAAACTTAAATATAGAGAACGTGACTACCTTGCCCCCAAGATAAAAATGGAGGGCGTCTCCGTCAACTGGCTTCGGCAAGTGACATAACAGGGCATCCAGCAGCTGCCCAGACCACTGTACATCACGCAACGAATACAATGGCTATAAGCATGATCGACGTAATATATCTGCGTGATCGTCGTCCAGCAAATCCAATACCAAAGCGAAGCTGGTAAAGTTACAATTCGAGGTAACTTTACTAGGGATCTGTCTGACAGCGTCGTCCAGATGATATTCCATCCTGCAAAATTTCAAATATTAGAACCCTATGCAAATGATGTTCGATAAACAAAAATATTAAAAAAATATACTAACACACTGTTACTAGATGCAATAACCAACCGATAACGAAATAAACAAAATGAACGTAAATTACTATTTTCCATATACTTAATTTGCTAATTTGATCGTTTATTTTAATTGCTTATTTTAATTATTTATCTAACACTAAATTAACTTTTTCATTTTTAATTAATGTTTAAACACTTATTTTAATTCTTTACGCATATCGCTTATTTCATATTTACAAATTAATTTTAATTGCTTCGTAAAAAATTAATGTAATTGACATTTTCATATCCTAATTTAATTGTTTATTTTTATTATTTCACAAATGTTTATATATTTATTTAAATTCTTTATGCATATTACTTATTTAACATGTAATTAATTATTTTAATTATTTTAATAACACTTATTTTGATCGTTTATTTTAATATTTTAATTATTTTTCTAACACTTAATTTACTTTTTCATTTTTTATGAATGTTTAAATGCTTATTTTAATTATTTACGCAAAATGCTTATTTCATATTTACAAATTTATTTTAATTGCTTTGCAAAAACTTAATTTGATTAATATTTTAATTTTCAAATTTAATTGCGTCTTTTTATTGATTTACAAATGTTTAAATATGTACTTAAATTTTATATATATATATTTAAATATTTCTTTTAATAATTTTACTAACACTTATTTTGATATTTTCGTTGCTTATTTTAATTATTTTTCTAACACTTTATTTACTTTTCATTTTTAATGAATGTTTAAAAACTTATTTTAATTATTTACGCATAATGCTTATTTCATATTTGCAAATTTATTTTAATTGCTTTGAAAAAAAATAATTTGATTGATATTTTAATTTTCAAATTTAATTGCGTATTCCTTTTTTTTTTTTTTTACAAATGTTTAAATATGTATTTAAATTATATATATATATGTTTTTTAATATTTATTATTTCTTTAATTATTTTACTATCACTTATTTTGATATTTTAATTGCTTATTTTAAATTTTTTTCTAACAGTTAATTTAGTTATTTATTTTTAATGAAGTTTTAAAACTTATTTTAATTATTTACAAATGTTTAATTATGTATTTAAATTCTTTATATATATCTTATTTAATATTTCATTTTTTAAAATTAATTTAGTAACACTTATTTTTAAATGCTTATTTTAATATTTTAATTATTTTTCTAACACTTAATTTAGTTTTTTAATTTTAATGAATGTTTAAATACTAATTTTAATTCTTTACGCATAATGCTTATTTCATATTTACAATTTTATTTTATGCTTATTTCATATTTACAAATTTATTTTAATTGCTTTTCAAAAAATTAATTTTTTTGCTAATTTAATTTTCAAATTTAATTGCTTATTTTTATTATTTTACAAATGTTTAAATATTTTTTTAAATTCTTTAGATATATTAATTATTTAATATTATGTTATTTCTTTTAATTTTTTTACTATTACTTAATATAAAATAATTAATTAATCTAAATTAGCAACTAATAAATATTTTGATAAATAATATAACATTTACATCTTATATTTACTAATAATTTTAAATACATAATATACATTCAAATTAAGCAATTCAAATAAATAATTACATATTAGAGAACACAATATAAGCCATTAATAATTATTTAATTAACTTCAATAATTACTGAAAAAAAAACACGGCCCAAAATAACGGTCGGCCCAGTCAACTGGGTCAATCGGGCTGACCGGCTCAGCTGCCCAGTTGACTAGGCTAAACCCAGTTGCCCAGTTGGGCACCAGGCGCCCAGTCAACTGGGTTGCCCAGTTGACTGGGACAGGCGCCCAGACGGCGTGCCCAGCTCTCTGGGCACCATTTCCGGCTGAGGAGATCGTCGAAAAACTCCATTTCCGACGATCTCCACTCCTTCCCAAGCAATAACAACCCAAATTCCACATTTACACAAGGATTTCTCAAC